GACGAGGCCGGGCTCTACAACACGATCCTGGAGCAGCCGCTGAAGACACTCCACTACGGCAAGCCGGCTACGAACAGCATGTGGATCATTCCTTCGTTTCGCCATGACGAGACAAGCACCGGTAAGTCCAACCCTCTCCATGTGTCGAGTACCAGCAGCAGCGGCAGCAGTCCAGTCAGTTCTAACTAGACTCCCTCCCTTGCCAGCGAGCCAGTTAAACATCAACACCCTGCGCAGCTCTCTCCTCGGATGGCCAGGATCACTCCAACTATCGGCCACCACCAGCACCACCACCAGCAAGCCAAGCACTCCGGACATCTTTATCCGGGGCAAGCCCGCGTATCCTCCTCCATCGCCGAATTTCGTCAGTACGTAAACGCCTTGCCTTGCCTTGCCTTGCCTTTCCTTCTTGTCCCCGTCCAACCACTGCACAACAAGCTAACCAAAACCAACCTCCCACCCGCGGTTCAGAACCAGACAACGTCCCCGAGGACACGCCAGGCTACCACCTCATCAACCTCGAGACCAAAACCAACACCCTCTTCTGCTGGTCCGTCCCCCCTTCCCCCCTTTTATCCTCACCCCAAAAATCCAACTCACAAACTAACATTAACAACCCTAAAGCATCCCACACCCCCCACACTGGGCCCAACGAACCTGCGACCACTGCGCCCCGACAACCACAATCGCCCCCTTCAAACACCTAGTCCAGTGTCGCGCCCTCTGCCACTTCCACGCCCACTTCGCCGCGACGGGCGACTACCTAAGCGAGTTCGAGCAGCGCGCGCTGCGCCGCCTCGAGATGGACGGCACCATGCTCGTCGTCAAGGACATGCTCGCCTTTGTCAGCGGCGTGCGGGATAAATTCCGCTGCGTCGGGCGGCTGATCGATCCCGAGCCCATCTGGTCGTCCAGGCCGCTGCCGACCCCCGCTGCTGCTGCTGCTGCTGCTGCTGCTGCTGCTGCTGCTGCTGCTGCGAAACAGAAGGGAGGGGAGGAGGAGGAGGAGGAGGAGGAGGAGGAGGAGGAGGAGGAGGAGGAGGAGGAGGAGGAGGATAAGGACGGGTGGTTGAATCGGTCTTTTGATCGTCGACGGGATCGGGCGAGCCATGGTCTTGCTTGGCGGCAGGAGTGGGAGCGGCGCGGATACGGTCGAAATTTCCAGGGAGACTAAACGGGAATGCGCGTTGCCGGGGACTGTTTCTTTTTCCTTTCTTCCTCCTCTTTTTGGTTCGCACTGTTAACTTCCGGCGGATGGGGTTTGGTATTTTCTTTTCGTTCTTTTCTTTCCTTTTTCTTTCCTGTTGAGGGAAAGGAGTCGGGGTTTGGCCATGATTACCTATGATACCCCCCATGGTTGATGCGATCGATACCCGTTGGCTTGCTTCTCTCAGGATACCCAAGCACTCGTTTGAAGCGGGGGGTTCAAGGGACGAACATACTATACCATTGGGATTTCTCTGCTATTGTTGTTATTGCTTGGATTGTATACGTTTATGGGGTTGCTGGGACGTTTCATTTCTTTTATCAGCTTCGTGTTCTTGGAAATGAAGTTCGCTTTATTCCTTGACGGTGTTGACGTATGGCAGATACCCGAGGACGCTGGCATTTTGGGTTGAGGGTTTGATTCATAGGCATGATGCCAGTGTGGCTGTACTTGTTCTGCTTTTCGTATATCTGGGTTGTGTATGCAGATCGCTGGTCGTCTACTTTACTGTGCTTCTCTGAGGTAGTCTCAATCGAGGATTGGACTTTCACAACATACATCTCGACTTGTTCCCATCCGAGGGGCGAGAGACTGTTTGGCCACTCGTCAGCTAAAACCGTCTCCGAGGAGGGTGAGCGAAAGAACATACCTGAAAGTAGGTACAGGCCAAATAATACCCCCAGCAAATTCGACCCTTGTAGCGCGCAGTATATTTTCAATCGCACAAGAAACAGGCCTCTCCAGATCAGGTACTTACACCAATGCTGCACCCCCCATACCCCTGACCCCGTCCAGTCCAGTCCCGTCCAGTCCCGTCCAGCCCAGCCAGGCCCAAACTAATCCACCAAAATCTTGCCCTCCAGCTCCCCGAAATTGCTCAGGAACCCATCAAACAGCCTGATCGCATAGTCCACATCATGGCTCCCTGCCGTCTCGCGGATGCTATGCATGCTGAGCTGGGGATTTCCCAGGTCCAGCGTCCTCACGCCCAGCTTCGCCGACAGCATGGGGCCGATGGTGCTCCCGCAGGCCGAGTCGTTCTTGACCACAAACAGCTGCAGCGGCACGCCCGCGCGGCGCGCCACCTCCTGGACCAGCACGCTGCCGGGCGAGTTTGTCGCGTACCGCTGGTTGGCGTTGATCTTGATGACGGTGCCCTTGTTCATCTCGGGCTGGTGGTTGCTCTCGTACTTGCGGGCGTAGTTGGGGTGGACGCTGTGCGCCATGTCGGCCGAGATGAGGAACGACGTGCTCAGCGTCTGCTCAAACGCCGTCGACAGGTCGGCGTTTTCTGCGGACCCGGCCGCAGCGGGCAGCACCGACAGGCGGCGCAGGATGGCGGGGAGGAGGTTGGAGTCTGCGCCGTGGGCCGAGAGCGAGCCGATCTCCTCGTGGTCGAAGCAGGCGATGAGGCGGATGCTGGCGTCCGCGTCCAGGCTGTCAGCCGCGCTGACCGACGAGATCAGGCCCCGGATGCTGCAGTAGGTCATGTCGAGATTGTCGAGGCGGGCCGAGAAGATGAACTCGTCGTTGAGACCGCCCAGGCAGGCCTTCTGCGTGTCGTAGAGGACGAGCTCGAAGTCGATGATGGCCGAGGTCTCGACGCCGGCGTTTTCGGCCACGAGGTCCATGAGGTACGGGTGGTGGCGCTTGGTCAGATCCTTGAGGGGCTGGAAGTCTTCCTCCTCAGCTGCGGCCTCGTCGTCCTTGGGCGCGTCGTCCTGGGCAACGGCATCGGCAACGCCGCTCCGGTTCAGCTCGGCCGCCACCAGGCCGGCGATGGGCAGCATCTCGTCCTCCTTGTTCGGGTTGAAGACGGGGTCGCGGTGCAGATGGATGGCCAGGGTGGGAATGCGCAAGATGGGGCGGTCGATCTTGACCAGCTTCTGCACAAAGTTGCCGTCGCTGTCCTTGGCCACGACGCGGCCGGCCACGCTGAGGTCGCGGTCGAACCAGGTGTGCCACAGGCCGCCGCCGTAGGTCTCGACGCCGACCTGGATGAAGCCGTTGGCGTTCCGGCTGCTCACGGGCTTGATGCGCAGACACGGCGAGTCGGTGTGGGCGCCCACCATGCCGATGGGGTTGCCGGGCTTCCACTTGGCGCCGACGGCAAAGGCGACGATGGACGAGCCATTGCGCGTCAGGTAGTACTTGCCGCCCGGCTTGATGACGGACGACCAGCTGTCGCGCTCCTTGATGTTCTGGAAGCCGGCCTCCTCGAAATGGGCTGTTGCGGTGGCGACGGCATGGTAGGCTGGACACGGGGGCGGGTTAGACTGGCTACCTAATGACTGGACGAGACCTGGCTATGTCATCATACGTGTGGGAGAGGCGTTGACAAAGTCGAGGAAATCGGTGGCCGACTTGGGAGGGGCCATGGCTGGTGGTGGCGGTGGTGCTGCTGCGGGGCCCGAGGAATACGACCTGGCTGTTGAGCGACTCGCGAGCCAACAAGGGACGACACGGCGGGAGCGGAGGCGGAAGCGGAGGTGGAGGTGGACGGGGACGGAGATGGAGATGGATGGAACTGGTGTTCTGTGCAAAGACGACCGCGAAGCTGATGCTGTTGCTGCTGCTGCTGCTGCTGTTGCCGCTGTTGTGAACGATGGAGCGATGAGAAACATCGGAAAGACGGAGCAGGTAAATCAGGTAGGTCAGGTAGGTAGGGAAGCAAATTTTATTTAGAGTCGGGACTATCACCTGCACGCGTGCATGCATGCAGCGCAGTGCAGTGCAGCGCAGCTCAACAAGATGGACAGAATTCCACGTCCAATGCCGCCCAACTGGAGCTTCCTCTCTTGTCCCTGGTGAATGAATGGTACCTGATAGTAGGGAAGCTTGAATGCCAGCCGCCTGTTGCTAACGGGCAAGGGGCAGGGATCCATTGCAGCAAATCCCGTCAGGACCTCTCGAGCTTCCGGATTTGCAATAGGAATTGTCTGGCAGGAGGACCCATTGCAACTTCCTTCCATTCATGTTTGTCACACGTCATGCACCATTCTTGTTCGTGTGTGTCACACACAACAAACCCTATTCTGCTTTCCTACGGTTCATTCCATCTACTTGGTACCTACCTGACATAACTCGCCCCTCCGTGCGTGCCCTGCCTGTGTTTTGCCTGGACAATATTGCCGGCCGCTGAACGGGCGAGGGCGGATCACATCCAGTGGAAGCTCAGACCATTGCCAAGCAGCTACTGTAGGTATTGGTGAAAGTGACTGAGCGAGCCACACACACTACCACAACCTTTTAGAAATAACAACCACTGCCTAACCCACACAGGTTGGACACACAGGGGTAAACTCCCCTGCTCACCACCAAAGCAAGCGTGGATCGTGATCTGCGTCCCCTGCCTTCCAAAAATCCTCACCCAAACATCCTTTACCGCTCTAACTTACGCGGGTTAGGCTGTGGTTGTTATTTCTAAGCGGTTGCGGTCACCAACAGCATCTCAGGGGTTGCGTAAAAAGGGGTTTGTTTTGATAGCCTCGCCCTTCTGGACGGTTACCTACCCTATCTATCTGCCTGCCGATATCATGCACCAACCAGAACATCATGCCGTGTCATTACCGCAAAGCATTTCTCCAGCCTTTGCATGTGACTGCGGCTTTGATTGACGAAACTTGTGCAATTTTCTTGGCACAAACGAAACCCATCTCAGGGTTAGGGTCTTCGCGTGACCAACAAAAGAAAGAGAAAACAAGGGCAGAACAACAGCACCACCACCACCACCACCACCACCACCACCAGCAAAAGTAAAGCAGAACAGCGCGATCATGGGATGATCATCATCTGGACGAGCTAGGATTCGAACCCAGGACCTTTCACAGGAAATATATTGAAACATTGCTAAGCGAACGCGCTACCACCTGCGCTACACGCCCTTGAACTGCTTTTGTTGCTGCTCTTGCTGAGAGAGCTGTCGGCAACTTCTCCATTTCGACGACGATGCCGGAATTGCTGGAACAATATTTTTCTGTTATCCGTTTCTTCTCCGTCGGCGGTGGAGTGGAGTGGAGTGGAGTGGACGGTGTGTTCAGGGCTGAGCCTGCTGGGCCTGGTGGGGACTCACTCGAGCAAGGAGGACACGGCGTGGAGTTGACTTGAGTTGGGTTGAACTGTTCGGATCCGCATGAGGGATAATACGTATTGGATGTGAGTGGAGCGAGGATGCAGAGTGTGAGTGGGAGTGGGAGTGGGAGTGGGAATGGGAGTGGGAATGGGGATGGGGATGGGGATGTCTCGGGGCTTCAGGAAAGATTCAGGGGTTGCGGATTTGAAGGAATCTATCATTGTCCGCCTGGTTAGGGAGGTTGTTGTTTAGTAAAACAAGGAGACCGGACCTAGAGACTATGCCAATCCTGAATTTCTTTTTTGGTTTCTCAGCCGGAGCTTTGTTGGGCATCAAGTAAAAGCTCGCCCTGTCCTCTAGCCTAGATGGTTGGTAGTCCCGATGTTACCTGACTTATATCTGTCGCGCCGAAGTTTTCGTTCTTCCGAATGTGCAGAGGTTCGACTACACAGAAACTCGGGGCAAATATCCCATTCACAGTTCAGGAGGTCGTTGGTTGTTTCAGACACAGACATACATGACCCAAAGATCCTGGTCTTGACTGGAAAGTAAGGTATTTGGAACCGTTTGTTGTTGATTCAACTATTGAAGACCATCATCCAGACAAGGTACTGGTACTCTCCCGTCACCCTCTTCTACTCAACCTCCAGCTTAGTAATGAACGCAGGTTGCCGAGGACGAGCGAGTACTCATGTTCTTTCTTCTAGGTCCACGAATCTTAGAGAGTGGTTTCACAAAAAATCATTCATAATCTTTTCTTTTTCTTCTTCCCGTAAAATAGTCAGACTTCTCCAATGACTTGAGGACGTATGAATCTGCCTCTGACATTTATGGCTCAGAGTCTGGACATGGCTCTGAATTTAGAAAGTTACTGAAGCTTGGCTGGAAAAATTACTCGAGCTCCGAGGATGATTATGAGAATGGGTCCTTTTGGAACCGTCGCATATGAAGAAATGGCCTAGCATTCGTGCCATCTATCACCAAGCCCATGTACCCGGTCACTTGTTATACTACATGTAAGATTCCCGGGGAAGTATGTGGTTTCTTGTCCACTTCATCTAGAAAGATCTCGTACATGTGCCTAGTCTTCTTCACACTAGCTGCCCAAGGTGGCTAATGCCTGAATAATGCCCTGCAACCATGATTTGGTCACGACATTCCTACACAATCTGTCACAGCCCTAAATTACGAACATAGCTCACTTCCCAAAATTAGGTACTGCCAGTTGATCACCGAGTAAAAATGCATCGGTCTAATGTAAACAAGCAGTCCTAAAAATTCGAGGATATCGATAGCTGGCCAACGCAAGAGACTCGACTCGGTTCGCTATGTACAGATAACTCCAGAGCACATCACCCCCCATCTACTTTCCGCCCGCCTTCTTCCGGCGAAGCGTCCGCTTCCTGGCGATAATCTTTGTCCTCAGAGCAAGCTTGGGGTCGACCGGCTTCTTCGCCGCCTTGCCCTTTGCACTGGCCTCTGCCTTGCCCTCCCCGCCCTTCTTGGCCTCCTTTGCCTCGGCATCCTTTGCCTGCTTCCAGGGCGGAGCAACGCCCGATTTCTTGGCCTCGCGCTTTGCCTTGTGGAACTCTGCCTCCTGGGTATCCTTGCGGTTGGGATTATACTTGGAGATCGGCTGTGACATGCTCGGTCTGGGTCCGCCGGTTGATGGCGTCTTGGACTTCTCCTCCAGGGCCCTTCTCCTCTGGATGACGCCCGCGTTCTCGATAGCAAACTCGACAATCAGTCTTTGGGTCTTGCCAGCCTCGTTCTTCAGCGGGTGGCCGTTCAGGTAGCGCAGTCCCATGAGCGCCCAGCGGTGAGACGAGTACTCGATGAAACCGTAGCCTCTGCTCTTTCCTTCGCCCACATCCGAAACCTTGGAGCCTTCCCTCGACTCGAAGACGACCTTTGCCTGTGACACAACACCCTTGCCCTTCTCCTTCCTGCGGCGTTCTGCCTCCTTGCTCTCGGCGCCACCTCTGGCGTTCTCCTCCTTTGACAGGGGCTCTCTGCGGCCCTCCTTGACGTCCTTGGCAAAGCCGACGACAGCCTCACGAGCCAGTTGCTTGAGCTGCTTCGAGTCGACGCTGTGGGGCAGATTGCGCAGGGCGAGACGGGTCAAACTCAAATGCAAGCTGGGGCTGTTCTGGATCAGCTTCTTCCGCTGCTTGAGACTGTCCTCTCTCATCTTGACCTCGGACGCCGACAACTTGGCGAAAAGGGGCGAGTTTGTGGGAACGTTGCCCTCTGTCAACAGATAGAGCCTTCGCTTGTCCTGGTCTTTGCGGTTGCGGCCTCCAACACCATCCGACTCCAGGCGCGCGGCTTCTTCCTTGTTGACGGCCTGGGCGACCTGCAGGATTCGGCCATCCAGTGTGTATTTGCCTTCCTGGTCAACGGTCTCGTCCTGCAGGACAGAGAGCTTGTTCAGAGACGGATCGGCACGGTACCGCGGCGCGCCCTTCAGGCAAGTGTTGAAGTCCTCGACATTGAAAAAGCACACGAAGCCTGTGCCGGTTGGGCGGCCTTGAGCGCGATCCATCACCACCCTGGCATACCGGACGGGGCCGAACTTGCTGAACTGCTCCTTCATTGTCTCGTCGGTGGCGGTATACGGAAGATTGCGGACGAAGAGAGTTGTGGAATTGTCCGTGATCCGTGCCGGTTTTGCCTCCTTCTCTTCGGCGAGGTCGGCGCCGCCTTCAATCTCGGAGTCTTCATCGTCCTCGTCCAGCTCGCTCAGCTCCGCGTCATCTTCATTTTCGTCATCCTCGTCCTCATCCTCGTCCTTGTCTTCGTCCTCTGAGTCTTCATCCTCTTCTGCGCTCCCCTCGTCCTCGATGTTCTCCATGTGGTTCTTGAAGAAATTTGCGAGATCCCGGTCTTCTTGGGTCATGTTGGGGTCCTCCTCCTCCTCCTCCTCTTCGTCCTCCTCGGGGACATCCTTGGCTTTCTTGGACTTCGAGCTTTTCTTCGTCTTGGCAGGGGTGTCGTCGTTGTCGTCGTCGGAATCTTCGACCCCTCTTTGCTTGTCCCACGTCTCCTTGTCGACCGCGTAGTCGACCGCAATGGTCCGGCCATCAACGACCATGCCGTTGAGCGCCTTCATGGCCGTCTCTGCGTTCTTCTTGCCACGAAGGGTGATGAAGCCGAAGCCGGACAGCTTGCCGTGGTCGTTGGGCAGATCGGAGAACTTGACCTTACCATACTGCTTGAACAGGGCCGACAGCTGCTCGGGCTTCTTGATGCTCCAGGGCAGATTGCGGATGATCAGCTTGGGGGCCTTCTTGCTCTCGGCCAGCTCGTCGTCGCGCTTCTTCTTCTCGGCGGCGATCTTCTTGACATGCTCGGCGTTCTTCTTGCTGGCATCACGCTGCCTGGGCTGGGCAATGTCGAGTCTCAGCTTGCGGCCGTCAAACATCTGGTTGTTGAGCTTGGCCTTGGCCTCGATGGCATCGTCGGGGTCGGCAAAGGTGACGAAGCCATAGCCCTTGGACGTCTTGTTGAGCGGGTCGAGCACGACGGTGGCATGCTTGATGGGGTAGTGCTGGGAGAAGAACTCGGTCAGGGATTCGCTGGTGGTCTTTGCCGGGAGCGAGCGGACGAAGAGCGACTTGATCTTGTCCTTGTCGAGCTTTGCTTTTTTGGAGGGCGCCTCGGCGGCGGTGTCTGCCACGGCCGGCGACGCCTCCTCGGTGTCGCGTTGCCGCTTCTTGGCTCCAGGGGGTGCCATTGTCGTCGAGTTGGTTGGGAAATCGTGTCGAGGGGACGATATGGTGGACTGTCAATTGGACGGCAGTCTTGGCACGCTACAGATAAAAAAAAATCGAGGTGGAGGTTGACGCTGGACGATAAGCTTCTTATCGTGGCTGGCGTGAGAAGCTGCTACCCAAAACGCAAATGACCAGAAGTGGGGCAGCAGTCAAGAGCGGCTAGGGTCCATGGTCCATGGTCCATGCACCTTCCTTGCTGACCCCTCCAAAATTCGGATGCGCGCTAAGCCAGATCAGGAGATTTCCAAGTAAACAAACAACCTCGCTGGCGGGCGACCGCGCCTTCCTTGGGTGCCGATGTCTGCAGCCTGCCGCCTGCCGCCTGCCGCCTTCCACCTTCCCCCCCGTGCCCCTTCTCGTTTTTTGTCTTTCGGCAGACAAACCTTAATTGAGTTGAGTTCATTTTAGAAATACACTTCAGCAAACAGCGAGAACGAAGTCGACGATAAATCCACAACATGCCCGCTCGAACGTCGACTAGGTCGGGGCGGACGTCGACGACGGCGGCAGCGTCGCAAAAGTCGGGCGCAAGTGCCAATGCGCGCGCATCGACGGCCTCGCGCGCGTCAGCGGCGTCAGCCAACCTCGACATCCCCCCCGAGACCCCCGAGAACGAGCTGCGCACCCAGGTCGCGTCCGTCTTCCGCGAGGCGCAACGGTCAACGGTGTCGCACCGCAAGCTCGCCGTGACGCTGCGCAAAATCCAGGAAACATGCTGCTACGAGCCAGCCAGCACCAAGAAGGCCGCCGCCGCCGCCGACTTTGACGAGGACGACTTCAACGTCGAGTTTGTGCGCTGCGTGCTGCGCGCCATGCCCATCAAGAAGAGCGAGGGCGTCGGCGAGAAGACGATCCGGTTCATCGGCCTGTTCCTGCGCCACTCGATCGAGAAGGACAACGAGGCCATGGGCGAGGTCGACCAGGACGCCAGCACCATGCCCGAGACCCCCAGCACACGGCTGACGTCGCACCTGATGGAGAATGTCCTCCCGCTCCTGACCGCCAAGGACAAGTTCGTGCGCTACCGGTCGACCCA